AAAAATGTATGGACTAAACATATTGTAGTGTGGGTTACTGATATCCAAATAAGTAGTTTATGGTGATGGTCAAGCATTGAATGTATTTCAGTAGAAGATCGATAAGGAGAGAACGGGAACGGCACACAGTTGGTACGAAAATGCATGAACAATTATAATCGGAGACTATGGACGGATATTTGCAGAAGAAACAGTCACATTGAGACAATTGATTGTTATTTTGCAAATTAACTGTTCACTATATGGTTCTCGTATTTTAATGAGATATTCTGCAATTTTTTGCTTAAATACATTCATTCGATTGTTCCACTAGTGTTCTGGTTCACTACAATATAACTCTAATATTTAGTTACAAATTAATGTAGGGGGCATATTTAAACTATTATTATTCAACGCTTCGCACAGCCGATATAAAGCAACTCAAATGGTTCTCATGTATTTCATAAGGTAATTGTCAATGGTACTAAAGGATATCACTGGGACCTTTTAAACATCATGTTTTTTTTCTTTGATGAATATACGAAATAGTAGTTTTAGTTGAAGCGTTCATGCTGAATATTCAATCTTCTATGTGAAAAACATAGATATATATTGCCGTGATAATGATGAGATAGATTTAAACTATTACAAAATGTCGGATCCTAACCCCAATAGACCCCAGTTAGATAAAGTAACATAAACATCTAAATCTAAGTTCGCAATTATTTATCTTAGTAATTTTTTGTTATTTTGAGTACCATAATTAGTGTAATCTTGATTGATTAATAATTTTAAAACAAAACAAACTTTATAAGCAAAGATGGATAGTGGTCAGCAGTGGAATCCAAGACGCGTGTTTCGTCCTATTTGGGACTCGTCAGCTAGCCACTATCCATCTTTGCTTATAATGCTTGTGAATTAAGGCTATATCTAGGCAATACGCACAGTATGCACATATGGCCAATAAGAGACTGACCAGTTGCAGACCTAAACATCAATGGGAAGATTCAAACAAGTAATACTAAGTGAATTTAAATCAAACTTTAATTCATCTTAATATTGATTGCTTTATTCTTTCATTGATAAGATTCAAGTATAACCATCTGATGAGTTCAAAAATAGGACGAAACGCATGCTTTAGATTCCATTGCTAGTCACCATCTATCTCTACTTATAAATCAAACTTCAGTCTAATTCCTTTTTCTTAAATTTTCACAAAGAAAAGTATAGTAGAATTGTCTCTGTCAGTCATAAGCATTTTAATGTAATTAACTTGAGATGGTGGAGAAGATTTGTAGTTCAGGTGGGTGATTTTTATGTTGGTTTGTTCTCTGAGCTGGATGGTTTGGTCGTGGAGCTTTCATCGTCCTTCTTTCATCGTCCTTTCATCGTCCTCCACGACCAAACCATCCAGCTCAGAGAACAAACCAACATAAAAATGTAATTAACTTGTTTATTGGAACATTTTCATGATCATTTACAAGGAAATAGAATTAGCTTTTATCAAGATTTACTTTACTTTATCCCATAGAGAATAGTTAAATTATTCATATCTATCTATTTCTTATATGAATATAAGATTTTGTTGAGGTTGACGGATATATGTTCTTCTTAAAACCTTAAACTAATAATTTTGTTTTAATTCATAACCGAATCGATATTAGTGTAGCGACAGTGAAATGTCACTAAGCCCTAGACAAATCATTTGGGAGTTGGGTCACTGAATATCGAACAGATCATCGATCCCTGTTAAAGTTAAGGACAAAAAAACGCGCATCAGTTAGTCATACTCCATGAACTGGCTCATGCGGTGGTGGTCTCATTAAAATCTCTGTATTCATTCTTACTAATATATTTACGTAATCACGCTCCTTGTGTTATACAGTCTTCAAAGCAGACATAGTACTTTAATACGTTGAATAGGGGTAATCCATTTTAGATGCTGACGGCGAGGTGTGACTTCGAAGTTAGCTTGTTCGTTACACCATTCCCGTTTAACTTGAGAAGGTCTCCAATCATTCGACATAGAACATCAACGTTGATGGTTTACATCGCGTTGATTTAAATATGTCAAAAGGTAATGAATAAATATTTCTCTGTATTTGGGAATTTTTGCATCGGGTTAAAGTGAATGATTTGATCTGGAAGTTGTTTTTTGAATTCATTGTAAACAACAACATCAGAGTGAATTTTACAGTTTCAAACTGTTGTTAACCTAGGTGACATGGCTCCAAATCCATCACGACGGCGTAGGTATATACACTCATTAACTTCCATTAAACCTTGAGATTAACATTGCTTCATATCTGTCTTCTTTTTTATACCACCATTAAATTAACTACTTCTATGAATCCGGTGTTCATCTTGTTGTGCTAACGAGGTATGGTAATTTGAACTGATGCATATACGTGCCTGGTCTTACGTTGTAGCTGACTGACTGATTGATTGCTAAAACCAAATGATCCTTTTTTAAGAAAGATCGAGTCAAGAAAAAAAGTCTATTTCAAGATAATAATGAACGAGTATATAAAGAAAACAAGTTATGTATACATTTAGTCAGTTATTACAGCATGAAGGGGGGTTAGCGATACATTGTTGTTATATAACCATAACATTACAAAAAGATTAGGAATACTCTAGATTTGTCAGTTAATTGCGAAATGCTAAATATGGATCTAATGAACAATGAATGAATTTTCATTATATTCCTTAGCATGACAGCTAATCTAACCAATTTTTATATTGAATGACGATGAAATGTTATCAATCTAGGTCTTTTTTTAAGTTCGTACACATTAGCTTACATTATATTTGTAATATTAAGGCGAATAACATTTTAATCCTCTTCATCGAGTCCTTCAAACCACCAGATGAGCTGCAGAATTTTATTATATCTAAGGATCGATTCCATTTATGCCAGTTACTATTTAGTAACCGATTCAGTTGTATCCAGTCGTTAAGATTTCAAAAAAATTTCCAAAAATAATTTCACTCAATCACTCACTGACTAACGCACTCAGGTATTTAAGGTTTTATTTACTAAGTAATTATCACTTTCAAGGACAGGGTTGTATGGAGAATGGTGGTGGGCGGCTTATGCTCCTCCACGAGGGGTAACAGGCGTAAGTAAGTAAGTAAGCAAGTATCACTTTCAACTACCAAACGGAATTGGAGAACGCAAAAAATCTATCAAAAACTTATTCATTAAATCACTATCTTGTTCATAATTATAACTATTAAACTATGTTACGGAATGATGCTGTTTTTAGATTTCCGTGGGGAGGTACAATACAATGAGTCTTTTCTCATTTTTTTTTCCAACTCCGTCTTTGTTCTTTTTATTTGTTAATAGTCATTTTGTAAAGTTATTAAGGGACAATATTATATGTATATATAACTTCTCAATATTCAATTCCCTTAAAGCAAATGAAAATAAATGAAGTGAAACACTTCCTAATTAATGATGAGATTATCCATCTTTGTATACATATACATATATGTATGCAATCCAAGTGTGTTTTTCTGACCAGACAATTTAGTTGTTGTACACATACATTTGACAAGTGGATTCACTTAACTTGTCATAAATCCCGCATACATATATACATATATGATATCCTAATAAATAAACAAATGTTCAATTAGAAAAATTAGTTTGCCACGTGTATATAAAAGGGATACATAATGGTTAGATGAGAAAGTATCGGGATAGATAAATGAAGAAAGTTATAATAGATAAGCAAAGAAAAAGCAAGGAAAGCAAGAAGAGGAAAATAAGTTGGTTAAGGAGGGAAAACAATTTGAAAGTGAATTATATAAATGAAAATAATAACAGTAATTATCAATATTGAGTTCTTGATATTACTGATTAATTTTTCGAAAAAAAAATGAGGAACTACCATTGTAATTTATTAAATAACTTCTTTATGACCTACATATAACTAGAATTAGAACGATTCATATACAGACAAGATTCATAGACTTATTTGATTATTACTATACTATTCTAAGGCGACCTATGATCCATTGGGGGGGGGGTAAGTAAGTAATACCATTCTAAGTTAGCCAGGATATTGATATAATTATAAAATTAGTGTTTAATTGAATTTTAATTGAATTAGTGAATAAATTTTGCTCAACATGTTAGTATAGATTTTCTAAAGTTATAAAAAGATGGTAGTGTGGTGTATAGTTAACAGTTTTATATAGTTCTAAATGATTTGTTTTTGTGAAGCTTTCATAGTCATTTTCGAAAACACAATTGATTACTATTATCTGAAGGGTTTGTTTTGTGGGGATTTAATATTTTCATAGTTGAAACCGGGGGTCAATTGAAGCTTGGTTGGAGTTAAACATAAACACCATGGGATGCCGGCTCAGCGGTCTATCGGTTAAGCACTCTGGTGCGAGACTGGTAGGTCCTGGGTTCGAATCTCGAGAGATGGGATTATGGATGCGCACTGCTGAGTAGTCCCACAATAGGATGTAACCGCCGTCCAGTGCTTCCAGGTTTTGCGTGGTGGTCTAGCTTCAATTAACTCACGCTTTCAACAAATGATTATTTCAGTTAGAAGTGATGTTCACAAAACACTCCAAACTTTATAGTCTTCATCAATTACAGTTAGACAACTACTGAAAACCTAGAAACGTTGGATAGCTGGTTCTTTGTAGTATGGGAACTTATTATTCGTGCATACTCATGAACTCAGTGGAGATTAAGTGAAATCTAAAATATGGTCCGTTCGCTTATGACCCAGTGACATGATTATATATTGTATTTCAAGGAGATAGTGATTTTTCCTGCATTCTATCCGGAGTTGATATACAATTTAATACTATTGAAAACTCCCATCGAGGATCGACCTCAAGACCTTCGGTCTCTCCCAGTATCCACTGATGTACAAGTCTAGTTTCAATCAGTTTGAGATATTGTGCATTCATTTTCGACTGTCTTCGAAGGATTTCTTCCTCACAACCTGAGCAATTCCAACAACAAAAGTGTTTATTAGGGATTTTTATACATGAATTATATTCCAATCGTTAAACTAACAGGAACTCTACTGAAAGCTATGAAGTTTAAATCATTCGCTGGATCAAAAAACACATCTGTTAATAACCATCCACACGAAAAGGTAACAGCGTTTCCCAAAACCTGATTATAATGCTTTAGATACTAAGTGGTGCTTCTATCCCCCTTCAGTCCTAGCTCATTAATTTGTGGTTTGGAGGTTGAATCACTCAACTTTCAACCTCTATGACACAAGTTTGAAACGCAATCCTGAAGAACTCTAATTTTTAAAAAATCTGGCTTTTTGATCAACTATTACACAAAATGTGTTCACATGAGTCAGGTAGATGAACTTATTTCATTAGTCTACCACTGAGTAGTAAGCAACATCATATTTGTCTAGCTCTCAACGTTGATCTAACTCTATTGATGAAATTACCACATAACTAATTTACTAAAAATCACATATATTGTGTTTCGAAGCACGGTGATGTTTGGAAGTAGAAAACAGAAAACCTTAGATCTAGGTTTTATGGTAACTGGGACTTGATTTTTAAAAGAAACGACATTTAATCTAAAGATTGAAATTCTTAAATGACCCAATTTCTTTCTAGAAAACAGATATTTATTATTATTATTATTATCATCAGAAGGGTTTTTTGTGAAGATTTAGTATTTTCATAGTTGAAAGCGTGAGTCAAATGAAGCTAGACCACCATCGAAAACCTGGAAGCACTGGACGGCCGTTTCGTTCTATTGTGGGACTCCTCAGCAGTGAGCATCCACGATCCCATACTCGCGAGATTTGAACCCAGGACCTACCAGTCTCGCGCCAGAGCACTTAACCACTCGAATCTCGCGAGGCAGGACCGTGGATGCGCACTGCTGAGGAGCCCCATAATGGGACGAAACGACCGTCCAGTGCTTCCAGGTTTCCCATGGTGGTCTAGGTTCATTTAACTCATGATTTCAAATAGGAAAATTTTAAAAATAAAATTTTTTTTCGAAAAAAATTATGCTAATGAAATGAACATTTAAAACTATATAGAACACCAATACTAACAAAAAGTTTCTAATAAAAGGAGAAAACAAATAAATAAACAAACAAACATATAAGCAAATAATAAACACATTCAAAGTTATGATCAACAGTTGAATGATAATATGGATAAAACCATCCTAACTTCAATTAATTAACTAATAAGTAAGCATAAATGAAAATAGGAAACAATAAATGAAAACTGAAGTGACTAATAGAGAATAAGGGAGAGAATGAGAGAGATAGAGGGTGAGAAGGATTTGATCTCAGTATAAAATACACTAAACCCTTTCTTATCCATTTTAATACATTTTGGCATTATCTATGATGTTTATTTGCCATTATAATAGTTAGTGGTGGTGTTTCTCTCTCTCTCTCTCTCTAAAAAAAAGGATAGAATCACCATAACCGTTATCCATAGAATCTATTTTGGAAACACATTAACTACACCTCTTAATTACTAATAAAAATTCAATAATAATAATAATAATAATAATAATAATAATAATAATCAACCCTATTAATGATTATCATTACGGAAGAACTTAACTTAATTTAAAAATCATTATCATAATTTTCAAACTCATCTCAATAATAACGAAACTATCTAATTGACTATTATAAATAGAACAACATAGAAAACAGGCATATCAGATTACTGAAATACTTTTAATTAGATTATTTGATTGGCATATCATTGATAGGTTTCTTTAGTTAATCATTAAAACATTTAAAAGCTTATTTTGATTTATAGATTGTATTGTTCAAGTATATGACCATTTAGTTAGTTATTATTGATAATTCGTTGCCGAGGTGGAAGAATAATAGATTATATCTATAATAAGAGAAATGGTCTCAGTTAAAATAGATATACAAATTATGCATATTTTATCATTTCATTCAAAGTATTATTATTATTATTGATTTGAATAAATTAATTAATATCTTCATAGTTGAAAACGTGAGTCAAATGAAGCTAGACCACCAGGGAAAACCTGAAAGCACTGGACGGCCGTTTCGTTCTATTGTGGGACTTCTCAGCAATACGAGACTGGTAGGTCCTGGGTTCAAATCTCGCGAGTGTGGGATCGTGGATGCGCACTTCTGAGGAGTTTCATATTTGGACGAAACGGTCGTCCAGTGCTTCCATGTTTTCTAATGGTGATCTAGCTTCAATTAATTCACGCTTTCAACTATGAAAATACTGAAATCTCCACAAAAACCCTTCTGAAATATGATTCCATTGATTAAGGAACTAGATTTATTTTGTAACGATAAAAGATGAAACATATTAATATATATGTAGTTAGTGACTCCTTACTTACTTACTTACTTACTTACTTACTTACTTACTTACTTACTTACTTACTTACTTTCGCCTGTTACTCCCAATGGATCATAGGCCGCCGACCAGCTTTCTCCAACCCACTCTGTCCTGGGCCTTCTTTTCTAGTTCTATCTAATTCTTGTTCATTCTTCTAATATCTGTTTCAGTTTCTCGGCCTAATGTGTTCTTCAGTCTTTCTCTTCTCCTTCGACCTCCAGGATTCCATGTGAGGGCTAGTCTTGTGATTCAGTTGAGTGATTTCCTTAATGTTTGTCCTATTCACGTTAACCAGAAAATATAGTTCGTGATATCTCATGTAATTTGAAAAGAATAATCAGTGTATAGATGGATATTTTTGCCTAATGATGTACTTATTGTGGTATTTTAATTCTTTATTCAACTTCCATTCGAGAAATATAGGTTTTTTTTCCAAAATTCGGCATAATTTGAGTGGCGTTCGGTGCGAAAGGTACTGGGTTCGAGTCCCGGAGTAATTATCAACTCTGAGATGCATGTACATCCAGCTGATGAGTCCCAAATAGGACGGAACGTGAGTCATGGATTCCACTGCTAACCACTATCCATCTTTGCTTATCAAACACTTTAATTGGTTTGATATAATTGTCTCACAATTCTATAATCATCAACATAGCGTTTATGGAGTAAATTAAGAACTGTCATATTAATTAGCAGAACAGTTAATCAGTCAGAACAATGTATATGGGAAACTTTCTATTTTATACAGAAAGTAATCGATGACATGTTTTATCAATTGTTCAAGTAACCGTTTCCCTTGTACTCTGTTTGTTTACTTTTTTCTTTCTTTTTTTCTTTTTAAAAAAAACAGAATTAATTTAATTTTAAGGTCAAAACAATTTTTTTTAAAAAAAATTGGTAACATAGAACGGTCAGACATTTTAGTACGAAGCTACATTTAGATAAGATTATATTTCATTGACCGTATAAAAAGGAAAGGTTCTTCTTTTTTTGAAAGGAAAGGGAAATTGTATACTTTGAAGTATATTTCTAAATGCTAGAGGGAAGAATGATATGGGGATACGATAGAAGGTATGAATTGTATAGGAAAATTGTTTACATTTTCAGTATGATAACTGTATAGTTAACTCCGCCTGTAGCTCTTCTAGAGTTACTGCCAGTCCTAAGCCCGGGTAAAGGAGGAGGGTTGGGCATGGGGTTAGCGACCTCATCCCGTAGAAAAGCTAACTAGCTAAAAAAACGCTAACTAGAAAAAATAATTCAAACCATTTAAACTCTGTCCTGGGAGTTGAAGGAATAATTATGACGTCCCATGATGAAAGCCGAAATTCTTCGGAGGTCACAAGACCGATGCGCCTTAAAGGAAGGCTCAGGACAGAGTTGGATGGAGAATGCTGGTGAGTGGCCTAAGCTCCTCGACGAGGGGTAACAGGAGTAAGTAAGTAATTAAGTAAGTAACTGCATAGTTACCAATTTCCATTCCATTGGTAATTATTTTTCTAATGATAGTCGAGCAAATGGAATCGATGGAAAACCTTAAATTTTAACAGAAACTGGTGATTTTAATTTGTGTACTAAACAAACGGAGAACAACTTATTATTTATAACTGTGAGGGTTTATTAAAAAACATTTGACACTGACTAAACTTTGACTAATAACGAAATTGACAAGGGTTAATATTTAAACAACCTGTGGTTATACATCAAGGATCGAATTTAGTTGGATAACTATTTAAAAAAAGAAACACTAGATACCAGTTTCATCCGTGTATGTGACTCCTCTGGAGTTTGCATCTACGACCAAGCCCAATAATTTAAAGGTTAAGAGCTCATCATGAGAACTGAAGGTCTTGGTTTCGATCTCTGATGTAATCAGGTGTGCTCTTTGTTGTAGTCCCATGCTACGACAAAGATGTCCAGTAGTTACTGGTTCTCAGTAACAAACTAACGAAAAGACTGTCCGTTGTGTGAAACGCCAAACTTGATAATCTCCATAACTCCTTGTAATAACAAGTTATAAAATTAATTGTTAACTGTAAACAGCCAAAATTAACTTTTAACGCTAACTTTCCTAGTGGTTAGTACTACTCAACAAGGTGATGTCTAAAAGTTTTGGAAAACAGGTGTTCCAACAGTTAATTTGAATTAATGTTACGTTCACAGTGGTCATCACTGAGATATTTATAAAACGACTGGTCTCTTATTACATGGACTGACAGTATTCATTTATATCTTACTCTAATAATAATACTGTTAATAATAATGGCTTTCTCTAGGATCATATGTTTAGTACAATAGGAAATTATCAACATATTTCAAAAAGTCCCTTCAACTCTTCCTAGATATCACAAAAAATATTGGTTGACACACACAGACGTGAAATAAGTAAATGAAATGCTTACTAACCAAAGGAAGTACTTATGAGAAGACAAGCATTTCTACCATTGTAATCTAGATACATTTCCAACAATATAAATTTTTGATTAAACCAACATTTAAAACCTGTTCGTCTTATGATCGATATGCTAGATAATGTATTGAACAGCCTTTTTGTACAGATAAATTAAACGAAGTCGTTACATTCATCTCATGAAAGCGTGAAATTACGTCATTTACAAGAAAAAAACTATTAAAAACATCTGTTTCATTTTTTGTGTCGACAAGTGTTTTTCATCATCATCATCATCATCATCATCATCATCATCATCATCATCATCATCATCATCATCATCATCATCATCATCATCATCATCATCATCATCATCATCATCATCATCATCATCATCATCATCATCATCATCATCATCATCATCATCATCATCATCATCATCATCATCATCATCATCATCATCATCATCATCATCATCATCATCATCATCATCATCATCATCATCATCATCATCATCATCATCATCATCATCATCATCATCATCATCATCATCATCATCATCATCATCATCATCATCATCATCATCATCATCATCATCATCATCATCATCATCATCATCATCATCATCATCACATTGAACTTTTGACGAAGTGTTGAAATTCTCAAAGTGACCATTTTACGCTTCAATGTTATCCATACTCCGAAATAAGGCACTAGTATAATTTATAATAATATCAAGTGATAAGATAGTTTTTCACTATAATAGTTGTCATAATTCCCAACTCATTACGTAATCATCATAATTAGTTTTTATAATTAGAAAACGAAAAGTCTTAATCTGTTTTATTATTATCCACGCTTATACATAAGTAAACATAAGAGTTTGTCATTTCATTCACACCCAGAACATTACAAAAGAAAAAAAGAAGGTTGTCATCAATGTCTTAAATGGAACAGATGTCCCCCGATGATCAAGAAAAAGGGAATGTCAAATGTCAATAGAGAATAAAGAATATAAACAAACAAATATGAATTGAAATAGTTCCACACTTAGAAACGTTAATCAACGAACTATGTTAATAAGTTTAATTAAACATGATATACAAGTTAATACGTGTATATAGGGTAAATGGATTGAAATGAAAGAGTATCATATTGAGTTAAACCATAAGTTAGTCTGTTTAATTTATTATTATGATTGTTAAAAGGATGAAAAGTGTCATATAAACTTTAATTTATATTATGAAATGCTTAATGAAATAGATTAATGACAATGATAGATTTAAGAAGTTAAATAGGACTAGGATAATTTGGAATAAGAGTACAAAGAAAACAGGTTTACTCATGTTTACATCATGATGGATATAAGTTGAAGTTTATGTTATATGTATGTATGTATGTATGTAATTAGATAAATATTATACAAGTGTTTGATAAAGTGGGTTGGAGAATGTTTGTCAGCGGCCTATGCTCCATTGGGAGTAACAGGCGTAAGTAAGTAAGTAAGTAAGTAAGTAAGTTTGATAAAGTGTAAATTTATAATTTTAAAGTTATCATTACAATTACTGTCAATTGAATAATGATATTTTTCATTAGAATGTCAATGATTGAAGATCATATGAACTTTGATCTGAATAACTTTAAATAATTGTATAAGATAACATTTTTATCAGTATAGGTTTGGGGGGGGAGAAGATTGTTGAATTTCATTTAGATCACGGATTGATCAAAATAAAACATTCATTTAAGATAAGATATGACTTGACAGTTTTTTTCATCATTGTATGTGACTCCTAAATGTTGTGTCTCCGCGGATCAAAGGGGATAGAACTCCATACATTTGGTTTCGTGCGTGAACGTATAATATCCAGATCATTAGGCCGAGATCCATTGGTGTAAAACTTTAACTTTAATTAGTCCACAATACTGCATGATAATTTCAATCGTCCTTGATAGGTAACTTCCTCACACAGTTGAACTCCACTGGTCAGTTTCAAAGTGAAACTTGCATTTACGTGCGACACTTAGGGTCGTCGGTTTGACTATCGGTTTCAAATTCCTAAATGCACATCACTGAGGAGTTCCGTACTAGAACAAAACGACCATGCAGTGCTTCCAAGTTTTCAGTGGTTACCTAACTTCGATTGGTTCATAGTTTTAATAAAGTTCCTGTTGAAGCACAGTTTATCTTATATATACACATGAAACTAGGAGGCTGTTTTAATTAGTGTTAGTCTAAAACATAATGGTTAATAAGCACGGTTAAGAAGTCTTAGAATGTGATACATTGACTTAAACAACAATGGATTTTGAAGAGAATTTTCACCAACCACTAACAGAAAACATCGGATAGTTAGTTTGTAGTAGTTGTAGAGTATTTTGCAGTACTTACACATTGCTCTAAATCGACCAAACTAGTGACCTTGAATTTCTGTTACTATCAAGACAGACTGAAGCTGAAAGTTGAATCTTTATATTATCCATTTTTAACTAAAGTTAATTCGTGATATCGCACGATTATTACTCGATTATGCTAAAGATACCTAATTACGCCTACCATGCTTAACTACACACGTGATACTTGGTTACTGGGTTTAAAGCTTTGGTTTCTAATTGGTATTAGATGGATTATCATTTGAAATATATACTAGCTTCGACCAAGCTGATTATTGGTTTTCTTAGTCGTCGTGCTGGATTCTTTGTTCAATAAGCGTCACATTCAGTAATTAACGCTAGGTGATTTCATTTGTGATGCACTAAGGAGTTGACAACACGGACAAATATTACTCTTTCCTGAAGTTAGGATTTGGTTAAATTGCCTAGGGACAATGTTTCCGAATGCACTTGTATAAGTTATTTGAATCTTCGTATTTGTGTTGAGGACTGTAACTGATCAGTCTCTTTTTGATATATGTACGTATGCCAATTGACTCGATAATGCCATTAGATCGCAAGCCTTATAATCAGGGGTTGACGGAGGTTAGTGTTGAAATCCAGGTAGCGTGTTTGGTCCTACTTGGGAAGGAGTCCCGGAGTGGACATGAAGCTGATGAGTCCCAAATGGGAAGAAGCGCAGAAGTCAAGCATTCCAATGCTAACCACCACCCTTCCCTTAAAATAGCATCTCTAATTGTTATACTAAATTGTTCTTCGAATGTGGATTTTAACTCATGCAGAGTAACAGTTTATGAGGAGTTTAAATTCAACTTTTTCATTCATCAACTTTCACCATTTACTTTTGCAAGCTGAGTCATAATTTTTACAATTATCAATTGCTATTCATACACTTTACTGGTTACTACCATTAAAGTGAACGAGAACGCAGGCGGGCCTAACCAAATGCATTTTAATATTACATTATAGAATATCTCAGTAAAATCTGAGAATCATACAGCAAATACTTCATCTGCAAAGTATTCATCAGTTGTCTTAAACTTTACTATTTCTTTGTTTCCATGTCAGTCATTCGCTGTTTTCTTTGATTTTCTCAACCTTCTGTCGTCAGGCATTCCACTTTCCATTGGTGATACATACTTCTTATATCTATCGACTTCAGTAGCACACATCACACTATTTCCTGAACTATTCACACAAAATATGTACTTTCTAACTGATACATTGACAAAAAAACAAGTAATAACATAACTTTCAATCCCAATTATCGTTGACATAAATTTCTATATAAAATAGTATTATGACCTCTTATAAATATACCAAAATAAATTCCATCTTAGACAAGTTTATTATTCGATTTCATTAAGATAATTTAATTTTAACAGTTGCGATCATGAGTCCATTGAAGCTAGACCACCATAGAAAACCTCGAAACACTGGATGATCTTTTTTTTACCTATTGTGGGACTTTTCAGCAGTGCGCATCCACGATCACACCTCACGAGGTTCGAACCTAGGACCTATCAGTCTCGCTTGCTAACGTCTAACCTCTAGACCACTGAACCGTCACTTTTCTAAAGTATAAAAGTTTATGGATTAATAACTAAGAACTGAAAAATTAATGACATGATCAAAGAAACAAAAGTAAAAAAAAGTAAAATGCATAAAAATTGATTAAAATTATTATAAAACAACTAAGAAAAATCGATTTATGACAGAACCATCCAATCAACCATTCAAATAAATCGTATAGTTTAACAAAACAAAAAAAAATTAAATCACAATAATGAAATACGATTTAATGAATATTGTTGAAAAATTTGCATAAATTACACCTTTACAGAGAAAGAGAGAGAGGGGGTGGGAGAGTGAAAGGGAGGGAGGGAGGGAGAGAGAGAGTGAGTAAGAAAGAGGGAGAGATAGCGAGTGAGAAAGAAAAGACAAACAGGATACGAAAAATAAAAAGAATACTCATCTTTATTTTAACCATTACAATAGTTAAATATTCAATAAATAAATGAGTCATCAATTTGGAATGATTTCATAATGACAATACTAATATTTTTGTTTCTATTCGATAACTAGTTGAATGGTTGAATACTTTAGGAATAAATAATATTTGACCACAGATGCCTTAGAAATATTGCTCACATCTGCTGGGATAACCGGGTAAGTAATAGTGAGGTTAGGCGCAGGGTATTAGGGAATAATGGTAAATCAGTTAGTGAACTTGTGAATCTTCACCGACTGAGATGGTTGGGCCACGTGTTACGTATGCCTGAACACCGATTACCACGACGCGCTATGCTGACTAGTGTAGGGGATGGTTGGAAGAGAGTTAGGGGCGGCCAAACCAAAACATGGCATCAGTGTTTGAAGTCACTAACTTCTAGTCTGAGCCATGTTGGCAGATGCAGACTACCTGGTTGGGGTCCGCGTGACTATCGTAACCAATGGTTGGAGACTCTAGGTGACATGGCTCAGAATTGATCACAATGGCGTAGGTGTATTCACTCTTTATCTTCCCTTAAACTTTGAGATTAAAATTGCTTCATAACTTTTTTCCTTCCTATACTATATCCTTCTATACAACCTTTCTTTATATACTACCACCACTAAATTAATTACTTCTATGAATCCGGTGTTCATCTTGTTGTGCTAACGAGGTATGGCAAATTGGACCGATGCATTTATGTGCCTGGTCCTACGTTGTCGCTGACTGACTTAGGAATAAATAACATGCGAGAAAAAAGAGAAAAAAAGAAAAAAAAGTAAAGAAGAGAAATTAATAAACAATGAAAGAATCAATTACAGAAGCATAGTATAGTATAGAGAATAAGCTATCTGTTGATGTAAATTTATATCTCGCTTGGCGGGATCGTGGATGCTCACTGCTAAGGAGTCCCACAATAGGATGAAATGGCCGTCCAGTGTTTCCAGGTTTTCCATGGTGGTCTAACTTCAATTGACTCATGATTTCAACTATATATAAAAAAATTACTAAAAATCTCCACAAACAACCCACCTATATTTATATTGTTAAGAGATTATTGAACATCATAATTTACAGTGACTATTAATTAATACATAATGTCATATAAGCATTATGTAACAGCTTTCAATTCACTCTTTATATCCTATCGAGTTAGAAATGACGTAAACCAAGTGAAAACTTACTTACTTACTTACGCCTGTTACTCCCAATAGAACATAGGCCGACGACCAGAATAATAATTTTTCCTGG